TGATGGTGATGTTGGTGATGGTGATGATGATGATGATATTGATGGTGGTGATGATGATGATGGTGATGATTAAGATGGTGATGATGATGGTGATGATGATGGTGATGATTAAGATGGGGATGTTGGTGATGATGATGGTGATGATTAAGATGGGGATGATGGTGATGTTGTCGTGATGATGATGATGGTGATGATGATGATGATATTGATGGTGGTGATGATGATGATGGTGATGATTAAGATGGTGATGATGATGGTGATGATTAAGATGGGGATGATGGTGATGATATTGTCGTGATGATGATGATGTTGATGATGATATTGATGATGGTGATGATGGTGATGATGATGATGATGATGATGATGATGATGAAGATATTGATAAAGATGGTGATGATATTGTCGTGATGATGATGATGGTGAGGATTAAGATGGGGATGAGGGTGATGATGATGATGATGATGATGATGAAGATATTGATAAAGATGGTGATGATATTGTCGTGATGATGATGATGGTGATGATTAAGATGGGGATGAGGGTGATGATGATGGTGATGGTGATGATTAAGATGGGGATGATGGTGATGTTGTTGTGATGATGGTGATGGTTATGATTATATTGATGATGGTGATGATGATGATGATGATGATGATGATGAAGATATTGATAAAGATGGTGATGATATTGTCGTGATGATGATGATGGTGATGATTAAGATGGGGATGATGGTGATGATGATGATGATGATGATGATGAAGATATTGATAAAGATGGTGATTATATTGTCGTGATGATGATGGTGATGATTAAGATGGGGATGATGGTGATGGTGATGATGATATTGATGATGGTGATGAAGATGATGATGATGATGATGAAGATATTGATAAAGATGGTGATGATATTGTCGTGATGATGATGATGGTGATGATTAAGATGGGGATGATGGTGATGATGATGGTGATGATTAAGATGGGGATGATGGTGATGTTGTCGTGATGATGGTGATGGTAATGGTGATGGTGGTGATGGTGATGATGATGATGATATTGATGGTGGTGATGATGATGATGATGATGATGAAGATATTGAGAAAGATGGTGATGATATTGTCGTGATGATGGTGATGATTAAGATGGGGATGATGGTGATGATGATGATGATGATGATGATATTGATGGTGGTGATGATGATGATGATGATGATGATGATGATGATGAAGATATTGATAAAGATGGTGATGATGTTGTCGTGATGATGGTGATGGTGATGATTAAGATGGGGATGATGGTGATGTTGTCGTGATGATGATGATGGTGATGTTGGTGATGGTGATGATGATGATGATATTGATGGTGGTGATGATGATGATGGTGATGATTAAGATGGTGATGATGATGGTGATGATTAAGATGGGGATGATGGTGATGTTGTCGTGATGATGATGATGGTGATGTTTGTGATGGTGATGATGATGATGATATTGATGGTGGTGATGATGATGATGGTGATGATTAAGATGGTGATGATGATGGTGATGATTAAGATGGGGATGATGGTGATGATATTGTCGTGATGATGATGATGGTGATGATGATATTGATGATGGTGATGATGATGATGATGATGATGATGATGATGATGATGATGAAGATATTGATAAAGATGGTGATGATATTGTCATGATGATGATGATGGTGATGATTAAGATGGGGATGAGGGTGATGATGATGATGATGATGATGATGATGATGATGAAGATATTGATAAAGATGGTGATGATATTGTCGTGATGATGATGATGGTGATGATTAAGATGGGGATGATGGTGATGATGATGATGATGATGATGATGATGATGATGAAGATATTGATAAAGATGGTGATGATATTGTCGTGATGATGATGGTGATGATTAAGATGGGGATGATGATGTTGATGATGGTGATGATTAAGATGGGGATGATGGTGATGGTGATGATGATATTGATGATGGTGATGAAGATGATGATGATGATGATGATGATGATGAAGATATTGATAAAGATGGTGATGATATTGTCGTGATGATGATGATGGTGATGATTAAGATGGGGATGATGGTGATGATGATGGTAATGATTAAGATGGGGATGATGGTGATGTTGTCGTGATGATGGTAATGGTGATGGTGGTGATGGTGATGATGATGATGATGGTGGTGATGATGATGATAATGATGATGATGATGATGAAGATATTGAGAAAGATGGTGATGATATTGTCGTGATGATGATGATGGTGATGATTAAGATGGGGATGATGGTGATGTTGTCGTGATGATGGTGATGGTGATGGTGGTGATGGTGATGATGATGATGATATTGATGGTGGTGATGGTGATGATGATGATGATATTGTCGTGATGATGATGATGATGATGATGATGATGGTGATGATTAAGATGGGGATGATGATGATGGTGATGATTAAGATGGGGATGATGATGATGGTGGTGATGACTAAGATGATGATGATATTGATGGTGGTGATGATGATGATGGTGATGATTAAGATGGGGATGATGATGATGGTGATGGTGATGACTAAGAAGATGATGATATTGATGGTGGTGATGATGATGATGGTGATGATTAAGATGGGGATGATGATGATGGTGGTGATGATGATGATGATGATGATATTGATGGTGGTGATGATGATGATGATGATGATGATGATGATGGTGATGATTAAGATGGGGATGATATTGATAAAGATGGTGATTATGTTGTAGTGATGGTGATGATGATGAAGATGGGGATGACAATGATGATGGTGGTGATGATTAAGATGGGGATGAATATGGTGATGATGATGTTTATGATGATGATGATGATGTTGTTGTGATGATGATGATGATGATGATGATGATGATGATATTGATAAAGATGGTGATTATGTTGTAGTGATGATGATGATGATGAAGATGGGGATGACAAGGATGATGGTGGTGATGATTAAGATGGGGATGAATATGGTGATGATGATGTTTATGATGATGATTATGATGTTGTTGTGATGATGATGATGATGATGATGATGATATTGATAAAGATGGTGATTATGTTGTAGTGATGGTGATGATGATGATGATGATGATGATGATGATGGTGATGATTAAGATGGGGATGATATTGATAAAGATGGTGATTATGTTGTAGTGATGGTGATGATGATGAAGATGGGGATGACAATGATGATGGTGGTGATGATTAAGATGGGGATGAATATGGTGATGATGATGTTTATGATGATGATGATGATGTTGTTGTGATGATGATGATGATGATGATGATGATGATGATGATGATATTGATAAAGATGGTGATTATGTTGTAGTGATGATGATGATGATGAAGATGGGGATGACAAGGATGATGGTGGTGATGATTAAGATGGGGATGAATATGGTGATGATGATGTTTATGATGATGATGATGATGTTGTTGTGATGATGATGATGATGATGATGATGATGATGATGGGGATGATATTGATAAAGATGGTGATTATGTTGTAGTGATGGTGATGATGATGAAGATGGGGATGACAATGATGATGGTGGTGATGATTAAGATGGGGATGAATATGGTGATGATGATGTTTATGATGATGATGATGATGTTGTTGTGATGATGATGATGATGATGATGATGATGATATTGATAAAGATGGTGATTATGTTGTAGTGATGGTGATGATGATGAAGATGGGGATGACAATGATGATGGTGGTGATGATTAAGATGGGGATGAATATGGTGATGATGATGTTTATGATGATGATGATGATGTTGTTGTGATGATGATGATGATGATGATGATGATGATGATGATGATGATATTGATAAAGATGGTGATTATGTTGTAGTGATGATGATGATGATGAAGATGGGGATGACAAGGATGATGGTGGTGATGATTAAGATGGGGATGAATATGGTGATGATGATGTTTATGATGATGATGATGATGTTGTTGTGATGATGATGATGATGATGATGATGATGATGATGATATAGATAAAGATGGTGATGATGTTGTTGTGATAATGATGATGATGATGATGAAGATGATGATATTGATAAAGATGGTGATTATGTTGTAGTGATGATGATGATGATGAAGATGGGGATGACAATGATGATGGTGGTGATGATTAAGATGGGGATGAATATGGTGATGATGATGTTTATGATGATGATGATGATGATGTTGTTGTGATGATGATGTTGTTGTGATGATGATGATGATGATGTTTATGATAATGATATTGATGGTGTTGATGATGGTGATGAAGATGAAGATGATGATATTGATAAAGATGGTGATGATGTTGTCCTGATGATGATGATGAAGATGGTCATGACGATCATGATGATGGTGATGAATAAGATGGGGATGATGATGTAATGATGAAGATGGTGATGATGATGATGATGGTGGTGGTGATGATGTAATGATGATGGTAATGATGACGATGACATTGATGAGATTATGTTGGTAATGATGAAGATGGTGATGATTTTGATGATATGGATTTGTGATGACGATGATGAAATGATGACGATGATGGTGGTGTTGATGGTGATGGTGATGGTGATGACGATGATGGTGGTGTTGATGGGGATAATGATGATGATGATGATGGTGATGATGTAATGATGTTGGTAATGATGAAGATGGTGATGATGTAATGATGATGATGATGGTGATGATGATGTGGTCATGGTGATTTTGATGAAGATGATGTAATGATGACGATGATGGTGGTGTTGATGGGGATAATGATGACGATGATGGTGATGGGGATAATGATGACGATGATGGTGGTGTTGATGGGGATAATGATGATGAAGATGGTGGTGGTGATGGTGATGATGATGATGATGATGATGATGATGATGATGACAGTGAGAGCGTTGTTACTTATAGTTCCATGTACATTTCCATCAGAGAGATGTGGCTGAGATCAGGGAGATCCGGCAGTTCCATTTCACTGGTTGGCCCGATCATGGCGTTCCTCTGCACGCCACCGGACTCCTGGGATTCATTCACTGCGTCAAAGCCAAGGTCCCTCCCACTGCTGGGCCGACTGTGGTGCACTGCAGGTTTTAACGTCTTCTTAACCTCCTGTTGATACTCCATAGAAGTGTTACCTCTCTGATTACAACAAGTGTGTGTGTGTGTGTGTGTGTGTGTGTGTGTGTGTGTGTGTGTGTGTGTGTGTGTGTGTGTGTGTGTGTGTGTGCGCGCCTGCATCAGTGCGGGGGCTGGTCGTACAGGATGTTTCATTGTGATTGACATCATGTTGGATATGGCAGAACGAGAGGGAGTGGTCGATATTTACAACTGTGTGAGAGAGCTGAGAGAACGAAGAGTTAACATGGTGCAGACTGAGGTACGCACACACACACACACACACACACACACACACACACACGTGTAAACATGTGAAAAAGTAATTAGCAGATCTCATCTTCATCATCACATGTTCATAGAAAGAAAAACAAATCAACAAATACATGAAACTGAAAATAAAGGTATTATCATACTGTTACGATCCAGGCTGTCTAGGACGCATGTTCTCATGTTATAATTAACAAAACATTCATTTACATAAATATAACACAAAACACAGACACATCAGCAGCAACTCAAAACTAGTAACAACTAAACTCTCTCTTTAACCAAATCAATACTAAAACTCTGAAAGACCATCACATAACTTCCTTAACCGAGTGATGTCTTATTTAAAGCAAAGTCTCCTTCACACTTAAAAGGGTTAAAGTTAAACACCGAGAGCTTTTCTAAGCACCCACCAAAGTTGTTACATAAAACTTAACAAAACCAAATGCTGCTGAGGAGACAACAGACCAGAGACAACCTCTCTGGTCGGCTGCTTCCTGAACTGAGGGCTGGCTGATTTTTATGTTGCTGGCAGAGCTGATCATCAGGAACAGCTGGGAGAGTCTAACTGGGAGGCAATCTAGTGAGATGGGAGACAGGTGCTGCATCTCCGCTCACACACACACACACACACGCACGCGCACACACACACACACACGCACGCACCCACACACGCACGCACGCACGCACGCACGCACGCACACACACACACACACACACACACACACACACACACAGGGAAAACCCAAATGGCCCTGGGCCATAACACATACTGTTGTTGTTATTGTTGTTCTTGCTCTTGCTGTTGTTGTCTTTGTTGTTGTTAAAGTAAAAGCCCCATTAGTCTCCCCATCTGACCCATCCTCGTGGGGAGTTGTGAGCTGCAGCTGTGGCTGCGCTTCAGAACCATTTGGTGGTTTAACCCCCCACGTCCAACCTCTTAAGGCTGAGTGTCAGACAGGGAGGTGTTGGGTTCCGTTATTAAGGTCTTTGGTATGACCCGACCGGGATTTGAACCTCAATCTCCCAGTCTCAGGCCGTGTCCTCTACCACTAGGCCACAGAGAATGTTCTTGCTATTGCGTCTGTTGTTGTTCCTGTTGTTGTTGCTGCTGCTGTTGTTGTTTTTGTTGCTTCGGTTGTTGTTTCTGTTGCTTCTGTTGTTTCTGTTTTTGCTGTTGTTGTTGTTGCTTCTGTTGTTTTTGTTGCTGTTGATGCTGCTGTTGTTTTTGTTGTTTCTGTTGTTGTTTCTGTTGCTTCTGTTGTTTCTGTTTTTGCTGTTGTTGTTGTTGCTTCTATTGTTTTTGTTGCTGTTGATGCTGCTGTTGTTTTTGTTGTTTCTGTTGTTTCTGTTTTTGCTGTTGTTATTGTTGCTTCTGTTGTTTTTGTTGCTGTTGTTGCTGCTGTTGTTGTTTTTGTTGCTTCTGTTGTTGTGTCTGTTGTTGTTGCTGCTGTTGTTTTTGTTGCTTCTGTTGTTGTTTCTGTTTTTGCTGCTGTCGTTGTTGCTTCTGTTGTTTTTGTTGCTGTTGATGCTGCTGTTGTTGTTTTTGTTGCTGTTGCTTCTGTTGTTTCTGTTGTTGTTGCTGCTGCTGTCGTTGTTTTTTTGCTGTTGCTTCTGTTGTTGTTTCTGTTGTTGTTTTTGTTGCTGCTGTTGTTATTTTTGTTGCTGTTGCTTCAGTTGTGGTTTCTGTTGTTCCTGTTGCTTCTGTGGTTGCTCCTGTAGTTGTTTCTGTTGCTTCTGTTGTTGTTTCTGTGGTTTTTCTTGCTGTTGCTTCTGCTGTTGTTTTGTTGCTGTTATCGCTGCTGCTGTTGTTTTTGATGCTGTTGCTTCTGTTGCTGTTCCTGTTGTTGTTTATGTTGTTGTTCCTGTTGTTTCTGCTGTTGCTTCTGTTGTTGCTGCTGTTGTTGTTGCTGTTGTTGCTGTTGTTTCTGTTGCTTCTGTTATTGTTCCTGTGGTTTTTGTTGCTGTTACTTCTGCTACTGTTGTTTTTGTTGCTGCTGCTGTTTCTGTTGCTTCTGTTGTTGCTTCTGTTGTTTCTGTTGTTGTTCCTGTGTTTTTTGTTGCTGTTGTTGCTGCTGTTGTTGTTGCTGTTGTGGCTGTTCCCTTTAGGTCGATTCACTCAGTACAACGAAGGTACTATGGAACTTCACACCCTCGTGTGGCCTGGCTGAAGACACATCTAATCAATGGTGTTAAAAACTTTCTACCCCCTTACCCGAACTTTGTGGCCAAGCTCACGTCTTCTTGGAAAAAGTCACTAGGCTACGGGTAGTTAGTCCCATTAGTAGTCACACACACTGGTGTGTGAAAATTGTTCTTTACATTTGACCCACCCCTGGGGGAGCGGTGAGCTGCAGACACAGCCATGCTCTGGAACCATTTGGTGGTTTGGTTAACCGTGCCCTTATGGAGCCATCGCTAGCAGCATATTTGGCTCCAACAGGTAACAATGGGGTGAGTGGTCCGGCAGTTTTACTCTCCAAACCGTGCAGGTTTTCTGTCGCGCAACTGGAGAAAATCTATCGGGCCCAAGCCACCTCCGACTACTACTTGGTGATGTGTTTGGCAGATCTTGGACACAGGTTACACTCAGCACCCTGTTCATTCCCTAATTAATGAGGCTTGAATCATGACAGACCATCCTGCACGTGGCCCGAGGTGTAGCCTTCTCACAGGCTTCAACCTTGGTGATGCAGAGACACCTGTTGCTGACCCTCCACCAATCTCCCCCAACGGTTTGTTTGGACAGTCCCTCAAGGCTATTCAGGCCAAGTTCGTGATGCAGAAGAAGCAGAGGGAAGCACTGTGCTCAATTATCTCCAGGCGTGATGTTAGATCTCAGGCTCCTGGAACCAATCGACAGGCCTTCCTCTAGCCTGCCCCGCCTTGGAGGATAGTTTCATCTGCGGCATTGATGAGCTCTCCTGCTGATCGGACCCAACCCTTGCCCCCCCCAGCCTGTCTGCCTGGAGTAAGGGACCTCCTATGGGCTCAAAGAAATGCTCTGTGAGCCATAAAAAGATGCCTCTGTCATCCTGATGTCAGGACCAGTTTTTGTTCAGGACTTGTACCCTGTTGGACATCCAAGCCTCAGTTTTCTGCGGTGGAAACGGCCATGTTCAGTTGATGTTCAACCCCCCAGTTCAAAGAGACTTTGTTCAAAAGTTACACTGGCCCCAGTTTTGCACAATGTTCCCATAAATACTGCAGTTTGCATTCAAAAGGTTGTCAATTTGATGTGTCTAAACAGTGCCCCTCAAATTGGTCTTATTAAGCTGTGTCAGCACGCTCTGCCGGTGACCAACAGCTCAATTTTCACCTCAAATCCTGTCTGCAAACAGCTTTGAGCAAAGCAAGAGAGGCTGTTTTCTCCCGTTCCGCTGGAGAAGAGTGGATCTCAACTGTTTGCAGACGCGATGGTCGGAGCACGTGTCATACGCGCAGTGCTGTGCCCTTCTGCTCTGCTAGAGGGCAGCGGCTCCACCATGACAGCATTGAGCAGCCATCTTGCAGCGAACGTTCCCCTCTGGCGCGCATGCACAGTGTCTCCTTGGGTTGCCGTCCTTTATCATTTTAGTTCTGGGTCAGACCACCCGTTTTCACCACGATTATGCAAACGATGGTGAATGCTGATGCAGCAGTCTTGTTGAGAGAGGACATTTGAACACTATTATCAAAAGTAGCTGTTCGAGTAATCCCCTTGAGGAAACAAAGGTTGGTACAGCCATTACTTTGTTGTCCCAAATAAAGAGGGAGGGCTTCGTCCCATTCTGGATCTCCGTGTGTTAAGTATTTGTGCATTTACAATTTCAAAATGCTACTGCTCAAGCAGCCGCTAAACGCCATCAGCCCCGGTATTCTGTTAGCATCAGTTAGCCTCACGAATGCATACTTCTATGTAGGAATTAATCCCGATCACAGACCGTTGCTGCCCTTTGTGTTTGAGGGGAGAACCTACAAGTACATGGTTTTCCCTTTAGGAGTAGCTCTAGCACCCCTCACATTTTCCAAATGTATGGAAGCTGCATTGATGCAGAGTTCTCGTGTGCAGGTGGAGACTCGCATCTCCCAGGTTCTGTCTCTCATTCAAGCCCAGCTCTCTAGTTCCGAGCCAGAGTTTCTCCTTCCTTGGACTACAAATACGCTCTCAGTCGAGCAGGGCGCGCTTCTCAGACCACCGGATAGCTGCGCTCCACAGCTACATGGCCCGCTTCTGGCTGGAGCCAAACGACACTCATCCGCACAGTCATACAGCTGTTTGGCATGTTGGCTTACTCTATAGCCGTAGTGCCTCTGAGCCAGTTAAGGGCATGGCTTTTCCTGCTGTTGCTTTTGTTGTTGTTGTTGTTGTTGCTTCTGTTGTTACTGTTTTTACTGTTTCTGTTGTTGATGCTGCTTTTCCTCGTGCTGTTGTTGTTGTTGCTGTTGTTGTTGTTGTTTGACATGTCAGGCGCTGTCCTGCTCTGACTAACAGCTGGATAAAGTCACAGCTGTTTGTGTTCTGTTGTCCCTCTTCCTGCTGTTGCTTTTTTGAGTCAACAGAAATAATCATGGGACATTTCATTAAAACAACTGAGGATGAGGAGGAGCTGAAGAGCACCATCACTAATTGTTTCTGTCCACAGGAGCAGTACGTCTTCATCCACGACGCCATCCTGGAGGCGTGTCTCTGTGGCAACACATGCATTACAGCGAATCAGCTGCGCTCTATCTACTATGAGATGAACCGGTTGGATCCACAGACAAACTCGTGTCAGATCAAAGAGGAGTTCAGGGTAACATGTCCTCCAACAGGTCCTCAGAGGACACTGGAAGCTCTCCTGTAGGTTTGATAAGCTCTGATCTAAAGATACAAATAGAATAGAATACACCACTACTGGCACAGCAGAAGCTCGGGAGGTAGTGTGGGTTGTCCAGTAATCAGAAGGTTGCAGGTTCGATCCTCACTTCAACCAGAAAATTCTGCTGTTGTGTCCTTGGGCAAGACACTTAACTCACCTTGCCTGCTGGTGGTGGTCGGAGGGTATGATGGCGCCAGTGTTCGGCAGGCATCACCTCTGTGGGTGCGTCCCAAGGTGGCTTTGGCCACATTGTAGTTCATCCCCACCAGCGTGTAAATGTATGTGTGAATGAGTGGGGGGTTGCAGAACTCTAATGGGCCATTCCCATCTGTACCGGGTCGGCCCGGGCCGGGTAGCGTAGGTTGTTTACATATCTGGGTGGCCTGGTATTTTTCCGGGCCAACCAAGGCTCATTCTCAGCCCTCTTCTCGAGGGGGTCTGCTTCAGGCCGACCAGGGCCAACACGCCCACTGCTGACAGCAAATTCACACCGTCCATTAGAGCAAGCCTCTGATTGGTGGGTAGAATCAGCCCACATGGGCTTAAGGCAAGGATGTGTGGAATCAACCGGGCCAGGCTGGGGCCGACCGGGGCTACCCGGCCCGGGCCGACCCGGTACAGATGGGAATGGCCCAAAAGAAGGCGCTATACAAATACAGGCCATTTACCATTTACACCACAGACCTTGTGTCCCCCAGTGGGGCCATTTGTGTCACAGCCAGGGTTCTAATTACAGGGGAGTATGGGGGACCTGACTCCCCCGAAAGGGTCATAGGCTCCCCTAGAAGCCCTGAACTGACAAACACAGGAAGAGCCCAAAAGCATAACCAGTCAGACATTGTTAGTGGCTAAGAGGTACCGTATTTTGTTGATGCAGCACTGTTTCTGTCCATCTGCACATGCTCAGACGCTGAACATGGTCACTCCCACATTGAGAGTGGAGGACTGCAGCATCGCCCTGTTGCCTAGAAACCATGAGAAGAATCGCTGCATGGACGTGCTGCCGCCGGACCGCTGCCTGCCATTCCTCATCACCATCGATGGAGAAAGCTCTAACTATATCAATGCAGCACTGATGGATGTATGCAGCAGACACACACACACACACACACATTGTGGTCCAGTCTGGTTTTTACCATTTAAGGCAACTGGCAAGTGTCAAACAATATCTACCTGCGAATGTCTTTGAATCTGTTTATTTCTTCTGCTCTGTCAGTGCGCTCCAGGGCAGCTGTGGCATCATCGTAGCTCATCACCATCAGTGTGTGAATGGATGAATGGTACACTGTAGTGTAAAGCACTTTGGAGTCTTCTGACTCTAAAAGGTGCAATACAAGTGCGGGTCATTTTCATGATGGCCGGGAATCTCCTCTTAACATGGCTTACGGTTGTTCCAAAAGGCAGCAGCGCATCTATTAACGGGTACAAGGAAGTGCAATCATATCACTCCAGTGCTTGCCTTCCTTCACTGGCTTCCCATAAATTAGTTAAAATTCCCATTAATCATCATACACTGGTGACATTTTTTCTCTGCATTCGACCCATCTCCTAGGGGAGTGGTAAGCCGCAGACATAGCTGCGTTCAGCAACCATTTGGTTGGTTTAACCCCCCAATCAACCCCCTTAATGCTGACTGTCAAGTGCGGATGCATTGGATCCCATTGTTATTGTCTTTTGTGTGACCCGACCGTGAATTTGAACCCATGATCTCTCGGTCTCAGGGCAGACACTCATACCACCAGGCCACTGAGCTGGTTACAGTATCCAGTTTAAAGTACTGCTCTTGGTATTTAAATCTTCCCATGGCCTGGCTCCACACTACATAGACAATCTACTGACCATCTACACTGCTGACACGAATTGGAGGTCCTGTTCCAAGTTCCTGTTAGTGATCCCAAAGGTTTGTCCCAAGACCCGTGGCTGGCTCTGGAACAGCCTCCCCACACACCTGAGGACCTCTCACAGCTTGGAGCATTAGAAGTTTTTACTTGGAACTTGTTTCTTTGACCTGGCTTTTAATGTTGGTTGATCTGCGTAGCTATCTTTACTGTTGATCTACAACTGCCATCATATTCATCATTTCTCTCTTATTTGTCTCCTTTTTAAATCTTTTATTTTTGGGGGTGTGGCTGCAATGTTATGTACATCACACTGGGCTGTCTGAGCAATAGTAAATGTGCTATATAAATAAAGCTAACCTTGACACACACACATACATAAAGCCTAGTCGAGTCCCTCGTGTTCAAAGACCTGAGAGGAACACAGCAATAACAAACTCCTCCTCCTGACATGCTCCCATTTAAATATGCTAATAGCTACAAGCGTGTCCTGCAGGTATGATTCTCCTCTCTGGACCACCACATCAGGACATTATTGAGATGAGTGTCCGTCCCACATTGTTTCAGCGTGTCTTTTCCCAACCTGCTGCACATAAGAATAGACCAGGACACTTGGACAGCACACTGGGCTACACTCCAGTGTGGTCAGCAGCTCCATCAGGATTGTCCAGCTGATGAGTCTCTCTCATGTTGGTCCAGACACAACGTGATACAAGAGAGAGGCTTCATCTCTGTGGAACAGTCGTGCAGATAAGGAGACTGGTTCTGTTCAGGAACAGCACAGCTTGTGCCAGTGAAGCCGACATAAAACTTTTTAAGCCTTTTTCACACCCACTGTGGTACGGATGTGGTCCGGTTTCTTTGTTACTTCTCAAATTTCCAGAGCTCGGCATTCGAAACGGCACTGAGGCCAGTGAGAATGCTCTGATTGGACTCCTGAGTTTTGGTTTATGCTGAAGTGGTATGGCATCCGGACCGCGGCCGTTCTGCTTTGATTTGAAAGAGGCTTAAGCCCATCTCGCTGCCATTTAACCCGATGGTAAAACCAGGCTGGAGCCCACAAACTCAAAGATGCTTTGTGAAATCACTTCCTGCTATTTGAATGACCTTATATAGTGTTTATTGCTGCTGCAGAGCTACAAGCAGCCATCAGCGTTCATCATTACCCAGCATCCTTTGCCCAACACGGTGAAGGACTTTTGGCGTTTGGTCTTAGATTACCATTGTACATCCATCGTGATGCTGAACGATGTCGACCCTGCTCAGGTAAACTCATTGACACACTTACTTACCTGTGACAGCTGTTTCTTAGAGCAAACTTCCACATCCTGTTCTAGATCTGATTAATGAAGGTTCTGCTTCATTTGTGCAACGGAAATTCTGGACATGATTAGGTTATGTTTGTCTTTCAGCTGTGTCCTCAGTACTGGCCGGAGAATGGCCTCCATCGTCTCGGATCACTGCAGGTGGAGTTTGTCTCAGCAGATCTGGAGGAGGATGTGATCAGCCGCATCTTTAGGATCTACAACACAGCCAGGGTGCGTTTGTTTTCTACACCTACACTGAATGGGTCAGTCGGTGGATTCAGATACACATACCTTCTGACAGAATCAGAACCCCTCTTATAGAACTAGTAACCCCATTACAGAACCATAACCTGAGTAAAGAACCTGAATCCCTGTTTAGCAGCTTTAGGCTCTTGTTTAGCATCCATGGGGCAGCAGTAGCTCAGGTGGTAGAGCGGGTTGCCTCATGATCGGAGGGTCATGGGTGCGATTCCAGCTCCCGCCAGGGGTATCTTGCTGTTGTGTCCTTGGGCAAGACACTTCACCCAACTTGCCTGTGTTAGTGGTGGTCAGAGGGGCCGAAGGCGCCAAATGGCAGCCTCGCCTCTGTCAGACCTCCCCAGGGCGGCTGTGGCTACAAGTAGCTTACCATCACTAGCAGTGTGTGAATGTGAGTGTGTGTGAAAGCATCTTTAGGTGTCTAGAAAAGCGCTATATAAGTTCAATGCATTATTATAACCTCTCTGTTGGCAGCTTTAGCCTTTCTGTCAGCAGCATTAGCTTCTCTTTTAGCAGCATTAGCTTCTCTTTTAGCAGCATTTATCTCTCTGTTAGCTTCCTTAGCTTCTGTGTTAGCAACCATAACCTCTCTGTTGGCAGCTTTAGCCTTTCTGTCAGCAGCATTAGCTTCTCTTTTAGTTGCATTAGCTTCTCTTTTAGCAGCATTAGCTTCTCTTTTATCAGCCTTAATCTCTCTGTTAGCTTCCTTAGCTTCTGTTTTAGCAACCATAACCTCTCTGTTGGCAGCTTTAGCCTTTCTGTCAGCAGCATTATCTTCTCTTTTAGCAGCCTTAGGGTGTTTCTCAATGTCAAGGAACCTTGCCTTGATGTCTTGGCCCCGCCACGGTTGCCTAGGAGATACATCATCAGGAGCCGCCAAGACATGTTCCAATCGGTTCCAGTGTTCATGTTCTACCGAGGCGTGTGTTCTCCGTTTGTTAGCCGTTTAGCTAGCTGAGCGAGGATACACGGGAGGTGTCTTGTAGCCTAGCCTTGGTCAAAAATTTCCCACAATACACCGCGGTATTTTCGAAAGGACGGCGAATCAGAAGCCGGCAGCTACTTCAAGCACAAATTTCAAGTTTAAAAGTAAGTCATCTAATTTAAAATGTTTTTTTTAGATCCAAAGAAGTTATCTATGGTTGGTTAGTAGCTTAGTAGTTGCAGCTTCGGTGGCTAGCGGGTAGTAACTCACTTATATTTTTAATTTAATAAACATATACACAATTTAAAAAGTTAAAGTCTCGTTATATATTTATATTGAAACTAATACATATAAAATATAACGTTATCTCCCGTGTCAAATGACGTTACGTTACCGCCGTGGTCACATGATGCAAGTCTGTTCCATTTAACCGTTTTCTTTGACCAAGGAAGGACAGCGTCCTCGTAAGCAAGGCGCCTTGACATTGAGAAACACCCCCCGTCTCTCTTTTAATAAAGTATTATTGAATAGAATTGAATTGAATTTAGCAGCATTATGTTATTTCTGTGACCACCGTGGGTTTTTCTTTCATTGACCGAAGGGTACCAACAATTTTGTCTTCGCCTTTAGACGACTTTGTTGACTTGACTTTGTTGCTGAGCTAACGTCTTCCTGGGGAAACCGTTGTCTGGCCACACTGTGGTGCTGAGCTACGGACAGTTCCTCGCCATGCTCCAGACCTACAGGCTATGTGCTTGGCAGACCAAGACTCTGAGAAGGAAATGATGTTGCATTGTTTATGCTCGGTTGTGCCCTTAGGGTTTATGTGGGCCACATTCGGATGTTTCATTTGTTTTGCCAAATGATTTTTGTGTTTGCCAAATCTACCAAGGGAGAGGTTAGCAGAAGCAAACGCATTCCCTTTGGATTATGGAGGCCATTTCCCAAGGGCCTTCTGCAGCCCCCAGCGGTCAGAGTGCACTCCACTAGAAGCATGGCTACTTCATAAGTGCACCTCAAAGGGTTTCAATCAGTGACACATGTTGGATGTTATAGCCCGTTCTGTGGCTTATTCGGTTCTTTCTACTGGGTTTGAGTTGCCAGCGTAGATCACTTTCTCAGCCAGGTTTGATAGCGGCTCATTAAGTGTTTTATATGTCCCATAGTTCCTACATTGTCCCGAGTGAATCGACTGAAAGGGCCCTTGAGGTCATGCATATAACCACTGTTTGCTGAAGAAGAGGAAAGAGGTACAACTCAGAGCTGCCCTTTTACAGCCTAGCTCAGTGAGAAGCGGCTATCGAACAGGAAAGTGGCAGTGACGCCGGGTGTTTACAGGTGGAGGTTCCCACCTGTCATCACACTCCTTTGCTTTTACAGACGTGATCTTCAGCCCAGCCACATGAGGGCACAGTACCAACGTTGTACCTCGTTCCTCTCCATCAGTGAACAGTGGTTATGTGCTTTAGGACTTTTGTCTCCCAGAAATGCAGAGTGCTTCTGGGCCATTTCACCTGAAATAGACAAATATGTTTGATTTTGACCGTTTCACCCCACAGGTTTGCATTTCACAGAGTTGGATCTCCTTTTCATTTCCCTCTTATGTCTCATCCTTGGTTTGGCATCTCTGTCCTCTCCCGTCCTGTCCCTGTCCTCCAGCCTCAGGATGGGTACCGGATGGTGCAGCAGTTCCAGTTCTTGGGTTGGCCCATGTATCGTGACACACCTGTCTCCAAGCGCTCCTTCCTTAAACTTGTCCACCAGGTGGACAAATGGCAGGAGGAGTATGATGGCGGCGAGGGACGAACGGTTGTCCATTGCCTGTAGGACTACACACAACATACACTACATAGTTCTACATAGAGCTTCATGGGACAAAACACAATACTTGTGTTTGTGAAAGTTGAGTAGACATGTTTAATTTGTGTGAAGCTGCTGGAGCCAACTACTGTAGTGCTACTTCAATTCAGTTCAACTTTATTTATAAAGCTCCAAATCACGACAAGAGTCGTCTCAAGGCACTTCACATAATAAACATTCCAATTCAGGTCAGTTCATTAAGCCAATCAGAAATAATGTTTCCTATATAAGGAACCCAGCAAATTGCATCAAGTCACTGACTAGTGTCAGTGACTTTACAGCTATCCTCATACTAAGCAAGCATGCAGCGACAGTGGAGAGGAAAACTCCCTTTTAACAGGAAGACACCTCCAGAGAATCCTGGCTCAGTATAAGCAGCCATCCTCCACGACTCACTGGGGATGGAGAAGACAGAGCACACACACACACACACACACACACACACACACACACACGCGCACACACACACACACACACACACACACACAGACAAAGACAAAGTAATGTGTCTATAGTTATATTGTGATTTCTTAGTAAATATTCTATTTGGTGAAAGATAAACTTTATTGTATTTATCCTAGTGGATCTATAATTAAACAGATAAACTAGTAGTAGCACATCATGGAAAGCAAAAAGTTATTATCAGGAGAGGGAGAATGTTTAAGTGGTTAGCAGCAGTGTGCTAGTCGATGGCCCCCTCCATGAGGCCACCACAGCTCAGCAGAACGTCATTGTAGCTTCTTCTGGGGAGAAAAACACTTAGAGAGAAAATAAAGTTAACAGCTGAAATAGCAGAAAGTAGAAGAAAGTAGTAGAGTGTAGGGGTGGGTACCTTTGACATTTGAATCGATCCGGTACTAATTCCCGGTACCTAGGAATCGATACCGGTACTTAACGGTACCAATTTTCGATACTTTTGAGTGTTTATTATTTTAATTCTCTTTTATAATTAAATATGTATTTTTCTCAATTTATAACCATATTTGATAAATATCACGATAAATAACATAAAACTGTTTGTATTTTAACATCGTCCTTGTAGTTTTATAAGCTGATAATTAATCTGAAGCAAACATCTTTACTGTGAACTAAATTTACTGTGTATCTTCATTCCTTTTACCGTCCTTTTTCATTTGATTTTTCCTACTGGGAAGTTAGAATTTCCGAGGAGAAAGCGAACGCACCATTAGCTGATAACAATGGTGGCAATGGAAGCTAACATATCAAGCTAACGTTATCTTAAACTGTTTATTTAACTGCTGGAGCAGATTAAAACGATGATGCCTCACACTTAGATCGTTGTCACTGGTTTCATCTTCACCCAGTTACCCGTCACATTTAGTAAAGTGGACCCAAGCGTTAGCGTGCGTTCTTTCTACCATGCTGCTCTGTTTACAACTGGCTCGCAGCGACCGACGACATAACGCTCTTGCGCATGCGCAGCTGTCTAGGCAAGTTCTCGTTATGAAGGACGGGTACCGAAACGAGACACCGTTTCAAATGACGTGAATCGGTGCTCGGTCGGTACTGTGGAATTCGGTCGGTACCTTAAAAAGTACCGAATTCGGTACCCATCCCTAGTAGAGTGTGAAAAGTGGTCAGTGTGTCCTCCAGCAGCCTAAGCCTATAGCAGCATAACTACAGAGATAACTCTGGATAATCTATCCTATTTAGATGGAGGCATGTTGGAGTCAGGGCAAGGGAGAGCCGTCTTTACCGACTGTACACTCCACCTCCCTGTACTCCCCCACTTGTCCAGATCTAGGCTAACATCAGATTTTAACCATAGGCCCTATCAAATAAAATGTTTTAAGCCTATTCTTAAAAGTAGACAAGGTGTCTGCCTCACGGACTAA